CGTTTCCGAGATACACATAATAAATTTATAATGAGAATTATTGCTCATTTAATATTCTAGGTTAAATAGTAAGGAAATAAGTCCTTTGATCGAGTCTTCACTTGGTAGTAACACATTTTAGGAATTCCAAATTTTTTACTTATATTAGCACTTTTATAGGATACAAAATAGTATTCATTTTATACACCTTTATTTGAATTTAAAAAGCGTAACAAAATGGCAAATACGTCGATATATTTGCATTTATATTGAAGTAAAGAAGCCACAAGTAGGTAGCTACAATAATATCTATATCATTTCCCTTTAGATTCAGTATGCTAGTCTTTTTGTAGCCACATTCATTTTTATTTATTCATTTAGGTTTCTTATATATCCCTATAATATGTACTTATAAATATACTTTAAAATAAATAAAAAGGCTATGAAGGACATTTGTAAATTTTCCGCTCCAAACAAAGAAGACAAACCATTGCTTATGGAGATGAGCTCAATATTTCCTCGTGTATACAGTTGTTTACTATACAAATGTTACGTAAGTGCACTCTACTTTATAAGGAAAATACATTATAGACAAATAATATGATTGAAAATTACCGAAGATTCACATTAAGCTTTGTAATGCAAAGCTTAAATTGTATTTTGTTTTTTTTTTTGATTTAATGTTTATTAACTGTACCTGTTGAGAACGAATGAACCTCAATATATAACAGAAACGCCCAGTGGTCTAAATTTGACCACAATAAGTACTGAAAATTTTAGAGAAATTGATGTAGAGAATGTACTTACATATCTATATAATATAAAAAATAATTATTTCCATTTTTTTTATTGGTAACACTAAAGCTTGTCAATAGCTACTAAACAAAAAATCGGTTGACAAATAGATGAGATAAAGGTACTATTTTATTTTGCCTATTTCTGTACAATTATGTATTATATACATAGGTAAATACAAATATATTTTATTTAAATGAACATAACTTTGTACATATACGTTATGTTCACTTTGTCGTTAAACATTGCGGTAAGATCAGAGTAAATTCTATATAGGTGTATCTGTGGTATAATATTTGCTTGGATAGTCTGTCTCCACGAACCTGTCAATATTTGGAGCCAAATTATTCGTAATGTTAATAAAAATAATATTTTAGCTTGAGGCTTGCTTTAACGGTCGAAGTACTTTACAAAATTGCGCAACAATTTGCTGATCTTCTAATATTATTTAAGTACCATTTTTGTACCATATGTATATTTAAGTACCATATTCTGTATTATCTATATTAAATTAGGCACAAATTCTTAAATATTTAATGTATAACTATTTTTTTATACAAATATATTAAATAAAAATTGTCTAAGGCTATGACCACAAATTATTAGGAAATGTAATATTTTGTCCACAATACTTTATAAATAATTTAACCCGTACTCGTACCCAATTTGGAAATGACGATGACCTCAAAATGTCATTATCAAAATGTAATTGAAAAGTCTAAGCAGCGAAAACACAATTATAACAAGATGGCCACAAAAAACTCACACCGCAATTTCTAATCAAAGCACTGAAAAGAAATTGATCGCGCGCTCAATTTTATTTCAATTACACGGTGGCGCCAAAACCGCTAGTTTTGTGCCCGTGGTAATATTTTTTCTTTTTTTTCTTTATTAGGTCAATGATCGCGACAATCTCGGAATGTATCGCAAATATTCCGGTTTAAAAAATAAATAAACGGTCTCGCCAAACTGGTATAACGTACGGTACATGCTACAGTGTGACATGTTTAAAAGCCGACAATGGAATAGATAGTGAGAGTGAACATTTAATGCTCCCAAATTCCATTCCATTTAAGCAAATTTATATATTTTTTCTATAACTGTTTCATGACAAAATTGTCTTTTCATATCGCTTGAGGATATTGTACATTTGCACAGAAGTAAAAAAAATCTTACCCATATGAAGTTAGCAAAGTAACAGATAATCCTTTTTGCTGCGAGATTAAATATTTTAATATAAGAAAATGTAGAAAAAGCCATTCTAATTTGAAGCTAAAAAATTTCGGATGACTAGCGAATAAATTGATGTTTATTTGTTGATGGTTATTGTACTGTTAGTGAACAACCATTCAATTCAGATTTCTCTTCCATTCAATGCCTCTTTAGTTAACTATATTTTAAATAAAACATTTGTAGGTTTTCAAATGACAGACTACTGCTTGTAAAATCAAATGGTATTCAAAAGTTGTCAATACATAGTTAATACATGTGAGCTGTTGTCGATCGTTCAAAATATTGCATACGCAACATCACTAACAAATTGCGAGTAATTTAGTAGTTGTATTCAAACAGTCTTACAAAAGCTCAATAGCACTACATCGTTAAGAAGCTGTGGGACGGATCTTTAGTCCACAATCAGGTCTAAACTGAAAGGAACGCCTTGTATGCGTCGTTTTTCTAAAGTGGACATAGTGGTTCAGCACTATTCTCCCCTTTGCTTTGAATTTAAAATGATGTCTTAGAGTGTTTTAATGCCACTCATTCATCATAAGTAGACCACGGTGTATATTCACAAAGATGTTTATTTTAGATGGCCTAAAATGATTTTAAATGGGTTTGAGTCTTAAAAGTAGTTTGATCGTTCTGGAGATTAGTTGATACAAGCAGTTACACATACTTATTTAATTGTTGTTCGAACTTTGCTATAGGTAAATAATAGTGTAATCCCCATATGGATTAGCAATTTGAATTTACAGACATTTTGAATTTATTATTACTGTGTGGATACTGTAAGGGATATTTAAAATGTATAAATTATCAGAAAATCTATCTCCAACAAATTTCTGAATATAATAACAAGTAATTCGATACTTCTTAATTCCTCCACGACCGCGGACACGCCGGCGTGTCAGTTAACAATAGATTTCTTAAAATTTTAACTAATTTCTTAGAAATTTACCTGGAGGTGTTAATAATATTTTTCTTTCAATTTACATCTCAAACGAGTCCAATTTATCTATACATATAATAAAGTTATCTTTAATTGATAAATTATACAATTACGTTTCTTAGTATTTCTTAAGTAAAATTATCTACACTTGTATCGCTACAGTCGATTACAAGAAACAACTATAATAAGACTTCATCTTTTTTCGAAGTTTTTTACTTCGTTTTCTCATATTACATTTTTTGTACATTTAGTCTGTTTATGTGTAACTACATAATCAACTGTGTTACTGATGAATCACAAGGTCTATAGTTGAATTGGTTAGCATTATTAGACAAATCTTCTGAACTTTCACACGGAAGCCGCACTGTGATTATTCAATTGGGAGCGTGTATCTCTGCAATTGAAAAATTACTGCCGGCCCCTTACCCGTAGTCGACGCTAAGACATATACGACAATAAAATTTAAAAAGGACTAAGGAAACTTTTTACACCCCATTTTTATTCCAAAACGCAACAATCATATCTATTTATAATTATCGTAAGAGTTTCTGCAGATAATGTGATGGTAAACAATTGTATGTTATTCGAACCACTAAGATTTCATAATAATGATGTTTAATATATCATCAATATTGTGACTTCCTTATTTTATGCTAGGTATTCTATTTTACATTTGTGTAATTTGAAAAGTACAAATTCAATAATTTTACTCCTTTTTGGCCGGTTGCGTTGCTTGTATAACATTCCAAGTTACATCAAAATCTATCCGACAAAATTGTTTTATCAATGTTTACCAGTTGAGAAATGTACCTTGGTCCTGGGAAGAAGTAGTGAAAGTAGCCACAGCAAGTACTAACATCTTGATATAGGATTAGAAGTAATTTTCATCGCACCGTAAAACAGATTTTTCTGCCCATTAAAAATATATAATCTATATATTCTAATATAATCTATATATAAAAATAATCTATATATAGCTTGACTATTTCCGGAATTCATTAACCGATTTCCAACGGGACTTTCTAGGGTATTGGCTTAATATTCTTATCATTGTGACATGAGTGGGGCAGTAGACGAAAACTTGTTATAATAAATAATAGACATTTCTAAACAGCTTCTTATGGATAGATTTATTTTCATCAGTCATATGGGGCATTGAATGGGGTCGATGACTGTCACTCTTCATTTAAACCATGATCGAACGAAAGTGAGTGACGTGACGGATGAAGCTGTCAACTCGAATCTACCACTTGGACTTTCTAAATGTTTACTTTCAAGGATTGCAAGCGGATGTTAAGGATTTTTTACTTCCAAGATCAGACAGATATTGATCTCTGTATAAAATGTCCATGACAAGATGGCCATCAAATTAGTGATTTTAGACTAAGAATATTTAATTTTAGATAAGTTAATTACTATATGTACAATTTTCTAAGATATAAAAAGATAACATCTCTTCGTAAATGGAATTAAATTTTTTACTTGTCTTACCTTGTCTAGAGAACTAAAAAAAATATACATATAAAAAATTTACAAATATAATGTTTTTATTTTTGAAAATTTATGAATAATAGTAGCATACGCAATATAAGTAGAGTTTGATATTGCAAATGTCAATATATAAATCACTTAATGTATAACATAAAACAATGATACGAGTATTATGTGGTAGTAGTGGATTGCGTTACGTCAAGATAGGCTGATCTAGGGTTCGGCGACCTGCCCTTGCCCTGCGCCTGCGCATCTTGTTCGCTTTTTTGCACCGCATCCCTTGGGATCCAGTTTATCTCGATTACGAGTCGAATCGCATGCCTTTTTATTACATAGCATGTATTGACTTATGATTGAGTAATTAGATTTTATGCGAGATAATAATAAGAGTTTTATTTTAGAGCTATTTATGTGGACATTTTTTTTCGGTTCAAATACTTGTTTTTAAATAATTTTAATATTGCCTTGTTGTATGTAATTTTAATATTGCATTGTTCGTATGTTTTAATTATAGTATATTTATGTATTGGCAAATACTTTATTATAAATGTTGTATTATTTCTAGGTCAAGAGGCGACATGGCGTCGCCTAGATACTTCTTTCTTCTGTTGGCTGTCTTCTTCCTTAGTTATTGTAATGCAGGTGAGTTATTCTACATAAGCATATGTATAGGTAATGTACATAGTTACAAATACCTTTAAAAGAAAAAATGTATTAAGATAAAAGTGTAGAAAAGCTAATACAATAAAATTATAATATACTAATAAACAAAAAAAAACCCATAAAAGCCTAGAGTCTAGATTTAGATACTAGATACTACCTTACATACTAGATAGTAACAATAGTAAAAAAGTCTGAACTATATCTACAATATGCAGATAATATGGATTTAAATGTTTTCTTAGTAACCTATCATAAATTAGCAGGGATCTTACTCTATTTCTAGACAGAATATTAAAATAAAATTTGAATAACAGGTAATATACAATATTAGTCCTAAATAAAATTTATATCTCAATCCCATGACTGCCATTTTTTTACCCTACTACTACTATACGGACTTGTAGAATTCGCACTATTTTAAGAATCGTAAAAGAATCGAAGTCGTTAAAATATTTACAGCGTGTGATACATATTTATGATGAAATTATCATAAGAATTCATGACACAACGTGACAAAACGGTGCTATTTCTGAGATTAGCGTATTTTCGTGGGAGTGGCGTGGGTTATGACTGACTCTGATGAGGGGGTCAAGGTCAGCTGGTTTCCGTCGAGGAACGGAGACGTCTGTCTGTCTGTTTGATGACATTTTATATTCTGCGTAGTTGCGTCAAATAGCTTCCTTAATTATGTTTTATTAGATGATGTTTTCCTCAACATGTTTGCCGAAACAGCAATTTCTTACCGATGAGTAAACCTAAAAAAGTTTTGTCATGCTAAAATATGTTATGTTTAAAACATGTCGTAGATTAATTCAAGTTAGTGAAACAAGTTTATGATTTTTTTTGATTACAATATTTTTCGTCTTTACTTTACATAATATACTATACTTACTACTTTAATTTCTATACAAAAAAATGATTAACCTAATAAAATTTTCCCGAATTCCGACTTCTGGAGAGGTTCAACTCGAATAAAGCATTCGTTGACTAAACCTGTACATATCCGAAAATATGGAAACCCGAATCAGACCCATTAGAGGGGTTGAGCGTGCCCCTCGTCATTTCTTTCAACATAAATATTGTATACATAAAATATAAATTAATAGAAGCGAAATCATTTGTAGACGAACTCGCCAGAGTGGTCCATTTGTAAATGCTAGCTTTAGAACGCATTTTGGAGATGCTTTAATCTCCACTTTTTTTCTTAAATTATTATTGTTTTTAATAAAATAAAGCTACAAATACGGTTAAAAATCAGTGCTATTATATTTATCCAGTTTAAAAATAAATATAAATTAGGAGATATTATTAAACATTTTTATCTGTACGTAAATAGAGCCTTAATAAATTCGATACCATGAAAGATGCACAATTAAACTAAGGAACAAAAATTCTAAATACAATTAATTTGAACAATATTGCAATAATGAGATCATAAAGTCGTAAACCCAACGTATTTAAAAAAAAATTATAATGAGTAAGCTTTTTAGAAAATGTTGTAATACAAATTGTAACGCACATTTTGCATGTAACGATCAGTTGTATGGTTATCCAAACATAGCCAAGTAATTAGTGTGGGAAGAGTGAAGCGATGGCATGCGATTCCCATGCTAGACGCCGGCGGGGGGCGGCCGGCCAGGCGGCATTCCGCGCGTGCCGTGCCTTGCGGTGTGGTATGTAACTGAGTGACCGGTACTTAGATTTTTTTTTCTATAGACCACTAAAAATAATAAATGTAATGTTATCTATTAAAACAGTGTGTAGGATCTTTGGTCAAATATTTTTTATTTCCAAGTTATAATTAGTATAAATTATATTAATTTCTAAGATTACAAACTACTTCAAGTTTAAACGCAAATTGCTTCACACTCAATACATTTTAATTATCTATCAAATTTACACCAGGGAGTAGTAGTTATTGTCAATAAAAGCGCTGTTTATCGTATAATTACGCTTAGCTAATTGCCGCTACACGTGCTCTTTGGAGTGTGAATTAATGCATAACATATATGTATAGTATTTACTATTTATATATATTGTAAGTAAGAAACACATTTTTCGTCCTTTTTTTGGTTAGAATTTGTAGTATAAAATTTTATTTACAAAAATACATTATAAAAAATGATAAAAGTAATTAAAAAAAATTAATAACTATTTTTATCATAATTTAATGAGGAGCATTTCGTTTATTAAACCAACTTCTAAAAGGAGTACGTGTTTGGCCAGTATTTTCTTATCAATTTACATATATAACAACAATATCGACGGTCACTTACCACAATGCAGCCGCGATCCGTAATGACCGCGCACATCTCGCTATCTCGGAACGCCTCACCATCAAATATATGCCAACCAAGCCAACGTATTAAATTAGGGTTTACTTATTCTTAGAATTTTAGTTTTAACTTTACATACTAGATTATGATAGATATTTAATATTATATTTTTACTTTTAATTCTTGGATTTACCCGAAAGGTCAAGAAAGTCGGTAATAAATAATTAACTAAAAAGAAAAAAAAACAATAAAAAAAAAAATTTATACCCGTACTATAGCTATTATGCAGTGCCTCTGCCTATAGAGACGATACAATGAAGAATGGGCTAATATGTTTCTTTTTCGGCAGTCATTTTGGTTTTCATATTTACAATATTATTCTTACTTCTTCTCATAAGATATGTCAAAAATGCGAGTATATACGCGGCATATCTTGTCGTCACCAACCTGGAATCGAATTCGTGACCTTGTAAGTATAATATTGCACCACTATGGTTAACTATAAGAAAATCTATAGCATCTTCAACATACCAGCTATGTTTATATTCGCAGTGTAAATATGTAGGGAATGTTTGACGTTTGCATGCATTATGCAAGCGATTATGCATTATTGTTCCGATGTGACGGTCGAGTGAATCTGAAAGTCCGCGTTTACAGTATGTTAACAGTAATGTAATATTTTATAATGAATCGTTATCAATCTTTTTTGGATTCTTTATACTAGATATTGACTCTATTTTCTTTAAATCTTTCGAATTGTATAATTTGATAATAAAAGATACATAGATATAAGGTAAATGAACGAATTTCAATATTTCCACTATATCGAATAGTTAATGGAGACTATATTCTCAAATAAATATGTAATATAAATACAATATTATTATTATATTAGGTTATGTTCAATAATTTATCTCCAAAATTTTGTTGTTAATTACTGAAAAAGTACAATGGAAACCCTAAGATTTTCTTTTCTTCTCTCTTTCAATAGGGAATTCTATCCTTTATGCAACATTTTAGACTTTTATTTTATTAGAACCATGCGTGTTATTTAACTGACTTCCAAAAAAGAGAAGGTTCTCAATTCATCGTAATCTTTTTTTTGGCTAAATAGTCCTTTTAAAAACTTTATTTAAAAAAAAGCTTTTTTAAAATTCGAAAATTTTAATCACAAAAGCTGTTAAACGACCTAAAAATATCATAAAAAGGCTTATAATCCAAAATGAAAGTAATGTGGTTCTTTGAAAATGCCAACGAAAGTCCAGTAGTTTTGTTTCAAAAAGACAAGCTTATGGCTATTACAAAAAGCAAGCGTTGGACAGCAATTTGGTGAACACCCGGTCTTTTTGTCACAAAGAAAGCTTTATCACTGTTCTATATTAGGTTTTTCTCAGCGCCCCTTTGTGTGGTTAAGGTTTATATTCTGGTAAAATATGAGTTCTACTTGGTTAGTTAGTGGTGTAGTCTATTTGGTATATGCAATTATTTATAGCTCTTTATATCAGACTAGTATTGCTGGCGGCTCCGCCCGCGTTCAGATGACCAAAAACCAAATCCTTAGGTTTACATATTAATACACTCTTACAATACAGTTTTTGTATTTTTTCTCAGAAATGTGATATTTTTCCGTGGTAAAAAGTATCCTTTATGTTGACCCGGATATCCAGCTATCATCATACCAAATTTCATCAAAATCTGTCCAGTGATTTTCTTGTGATGCGGTAACAGACAGACAAAAATTCTAAAAACTATAGATTCGGACTCTGTATCGATAATAATGTCTATTTCAATAAGATTTTTCAAAAAATATTTAATGTACAGATTCGACTTAGTTACAATTGTATTATGTATAGATGTTATTATAATATAAAACGTATTGGTAGGGTTGTATGTCAGTCATTATTTTGGTTATGGTTGTTAAAATACTGGCACGCTTTGAAACCATTAACGAGATAAATTAATTTAAACTGAATTGTTAAAATAAATTCATTATATACATAACGTGTCTTCTCCATTCTACGCGACATTGGCAAAATAAATTGTGAACAAATTGCACTCCTAGGAGCTATTGAACAAAAGAATTAAATTGAGAATTTTCTAAGTAAATTTTAATATATAATTTTTATTTTAAAATTTTAACATAATATGTATGTTTTTTCTGGATATTTTAGAATTGGAAACGATTTAAATCTTGTTATATAAATTACAGACAAGGAATTCATTTCTCATCCACAAGCGATACAATTACGGCATATTTATTTATTGAAAACATTAATCAGAGATAAAGTTCACTAGCGACCAGAATTAATTACCTTAGATGACTATTGTTTGATGGAAGCCGGCATTTGACGTAGCTTAATAGACCTGTCAAGTTCCTATTTCTAGTGGTCAAATTGTCAAAACTGTAGTAAATAATAATATTGGTCACAAAACTATATGCTAGTAAACTATAACATTCTTGCTTTATAAGTTACTCATTATAACGTTAAGTTTCTATTTTATCATCCTTACATATAAAATATCAAAATAAATGTAGATATGTGCGTGTGTACGTCATTCTTCTATTTCTATAGAGCTTGACCGATTTTAATGACCTTTTTGTGTATGTAGATGGCGCTGTTGTCGAGATTTTTTTATTTTCGAATAAAACAACGGACAAAATTTTATAACATATTTTTTTTGGACTTGGGATGCTATCCCATA